CAGTTAAAGTCAGATATCACCTATCTCGGAGCGATGAGCAAATATGACACTTACAGTCCAGTTCGCCGTGCTCTGCATTGTATCGTTGTCAAAGACATCTTCAGATACGTCACTATTGTGTTGAGTGACGTCAATGACAAGTCAGTCTTCTCTTGACATGGTGAACGGTGCAGTCGATATCACTGAGGTCAGTCGGGGCGTGTCAGCGGCGCGTGGGATCCAGCGCAGCGTTAGCACCTTCCCCACCAATCACTGGACCCCAGAAGCGGAAACGATCGATGAAAAACAGCCCGGCGCGTTGCTGACACGCCACCGACCGCAGTGATAACGAATGTACCCTGTGCTGCACCAGCATCGCGAAAGCATCGCCAACCGACTGAGCCTGAGCCTGTGAGGAAATGGAAACCGACGAGAAAGGTTACCCATTTTCAGCGTTTTTAGGATTCAGCGGTCTAGCTCACTTTTCCAGAGGGCAGCGGTTGAAATCCACCATCCGCTGACAGTGAAAACCGTAAGCGAGCTTGTTCCGTATGATCATAGCGATTTAAACAACGTTAACAGATTTTGGTATCGTTTATTGGACGGGACTTAGGTGGCACTGAGATTGATGGAGAACATGCTGGTCACTTCTGTCTGTCCAAATGCCTCCTTCGCGTCGCTGGCGTTCTTTGGTGCGGGTGCGAATTGCACCACAATTCGGTCGTCCTTCGGCGGGCCGTTCTGAAACAGTGCCGATCAAGGCAAGGCTTTAGCAAGAACGATCTGCTCAATAGCGAATGCCAGTGGAAGACCACCAGCAGTTGCCTCGCCCACTAGTTAACCATGCACGGAACTCACCAATCGTGTCACTTCGATGCTTGCGTTTCCAGCCGGGTCGACGAATCCAAAGACGGGACGAACACGATACTCGTCGTTGTTAGTACTTCGAATCTTGAAGATCATCCTCTGATTCGTATTGTTGGTGAGTTGGTGAGTGGATTTGCCTCCAGCAGCTGGAACTGCGGCCTCCAATGGCTCGACCGTTAGTGGCATGCTCGCGACGAAGTGAACATCACTCGCGTCGGCCGCTTTTATAGTGCCAAACAACCGGGATAACTAGTATCACTGATCTATTGCTCTCACGTCTGCTTACCCAATGTCAATACAGTGAAAGTCTAAAGTGGTTGCTCTGTGACTCTGTGATATCGTCATTAATAGAACCCCCAGATCAGAAAACCCTTCTAAGGCTCACGGTAACCTTACCTACCATAGATTACGCTGAAAACGCGGTCTGATACGCACAGCTTGCCTCGCTGCGGACGCTCAGGCGGTCCAAGGGGTCCAAGTTAATCCGAGGGGGGGGGGTGGGGACGGGGGTGTGGAAGACATCCCAGCATAGCCTCTGTATCTCTCCTTAACGCTTAGGTATAAGATTAGTCGAGATTAGCAGGTCCTGTCGCTAGGGAAAGTTTTCATAAAAACACGACTTCCCTCGGTTTTCCTCCGCCTTCCCTTCTCGAAGCAACGGGTCGACTTCCTCCTCAGAGTCTCAGCGATAGCGCCTATAGGGTGGTCACTGCGACGGTTGGGCGTGTGAGGCGGGATGAGTTTGGCGCGGTGCCAAACCCGTTCTCCACCAGTTGTAAAGCGAGCAAGTGATATGACTGTATCATATCGTTCGTATTACTCGTTTTCTACCACTTTTTGTCGCATGCGCGCTTCAACAAGAAGGCAGAGAACGGCTTTGACGGGGTGACACACTCATACTGCCTGACACGCCCAACCGTCCGCAGCGAACTGGAGTGTAGCACACGTAAAACAGGAAAAACCAACTATCAAAATAAAATTTCTTCAGGAAGTTTATGCCTCCCTTGGGGTGTATGTCGTTTGGCCCGATTCATGTGCCGAAAACTTTTCAAAACACGTTGGACGAACCGTTTCCATGAAGAACCAACCACTCGTCCAAAATTACTAACCTTAAGTTTTTCCTCCTGAGTGATCAATGGAAGATTCGTTGGTTGAGAAGAAGAGTCATTGCAGGCAACATTGACGACTTTATATAGTCTTTCAATTACGAAAACCTGGCACCCGGGCGATTCTATCGTTTGCAAGTCAGGCGGAGCTAGGCGGCGTGGCGGAGCTAGGCGGCGCTGCACACGCCACGCCGCCTAGCCCCGCCCACCGGGGCGACGACCCGACGATAGAATCACCACACACCCCGAATACCTTGCACCCTAGTGATTTGGACGAGTTGTCCAACTTTGCGGGAAAAGTTCCATCATTTGTTCATTACGCGTCAATTGCAATGTGATCGCGCCAAACAACCGCCTTTCCTCTCCCTTCCCTGTGAAGCCATTTCTCGGCTACGTGACAAGTAGAATTTTCGTGGCGGCCCTGGCGCCAAAGGCCAGAGCGCAAAAAGACAGGGGATCGCGGTTGCCAATTCATCAGAGGGTTCAAAAAACATTCGCGAGCCGGTCCATGAGCTTTTTCCATGGGGTAGGGACACCGAAGTGGATTAGTCCCTAACCTATTGCGTACCGCGGCGTTTTTGCGCTAACCGGCTCCTATGGCCGACGCCGTTTTATCGACGCGACTTGTGGCGCGCTGAGTATAAACACATAGGTTTTTTATTTTATACATATAATTTAAATCGGCACTATTTACCCTTTACTGCCCCAGTCTTCCGAAAACAGGCCAGTTTTTGACCGACTTTTTTCTGCCTTGGCAGAATTGGCTGAAAATTTGTACCCTGGGGTAGTTTGACCTCCTGAACATGAATATCACATCCGCTAGGCACGAAACCTCCTGGCGCCCGCGCCACAGGCGCCGGCGCCAAAATACCTTAAATCACCAAATTCGCTGAAAAAACACGAATATCACGTACGCTCGGCCTGAAACCTTCTGCGCCGCGCTACAGATGGCTGGCACCAAAATACCCACATCCTGCGCGCACGTGTTGTGGCGCGGACGCAGAGGTTTCGGGCTCAGCGAATGGCATATTCGTATCCAGGAGATCAAAATACCCCAGGAGACAACATTTGAGCCAAATCTGTCCACGGAGAACAATGTCGGTCAGAAACTAGCTCAATTCGATGGTTGGGGCAGTAAAGGATAAATAGTGCCAAAATATTGTGCATACATCGTATAATGCATCACTTTTATATGTAGACGTATGCTAAACGAGACTCAGTATTGTTACGTGATAAAAGTGATGAGCCGAAAAAATGCGAAATCATCCAAAAAAAGCTTGTCTGTTAACTCACACAATTTTACGGATTTTCAGTCGTGTTATAACCAGGATTTCGGTTTTATTGGTGAATGAGAATTGAAATAACAGTTGAGGTATTTCCCGGAAAATGTTAGTGGTTTTGCTCTTATTCGATCCTACAGTTTCCCCCCACACATGTTTTGTCCCAGGAGACTTCAGGAATATACCGACTCTTTTCAATCATCTAACAATGCTTAATAAGTTCAAGCGAACCATGCTTCACCATGTGCAGGCCACACGACTAGAGGACAGAGCTCAAGACAGCAGGTGTCAGGCCAGCCGCACCCGCTCGCCCATGACTGGCAAAACCCAGTGGTGGCGTAATGCGTTAACAAGCGTATACATTGTTCACAGTCTGCGGCCCAGCGTTTCTCTGGAAAGAAACGGTTCGGCGATAAGGTTTTTAAACGTATCGATTGGCGGTTGGGCGAAGACTGTGGCGTTGCGCGAAACGCTTTTGATATGTATCGACGCGCGGTTCGGCGGAGCGGTTGGGCGAAGAAGGCTAATGCCGTTTGGACTCCAGCAACTTCGGCACCGAGCTCATTTTTAAATTACCTAAGTCGCCAAACCCGCTGAAAATATGTACACAAGGGTTATTTACCATCCTGATTACAATTATGACACTCATTCTTGGCGCTGGCGCCAAGGGATGACACTACGATTACCTCTTGGGCTCAGCCTTAGCGGAGCGCAGGTAATCGTAGTGTCATCCATTAGCGCCAGCGGCAAGAGTGAATGTCATATTCGTAATCAGGATGTTAAACTACCCCTACATACAAGTTTAGTTTTTAGCGGATTTGGTAACTTACCATTAGGCAATTTAAAAATGAGCTCGGTGCCGAAGTTGCTGGAGTCCAAACGGCATTAGCCGAAGAACGCTAGCCCGACCGCTCCGGCGTTTTTCGCGAGGGCGGAGCTTGCGAAATCGATACGCATCTATTGCTTTTCGCCCGGTTCCGCCCGTTTCGTCTGGGTCTCAGACTGTGGGCAATGCCCAAAGCTACGAATGTGTAAGGCCACTGTGGGCAAGAATACGATGTGGAGCGTGAGGGCAGAGAAAAAACAGGAAATCGGGCACGATCAAAGAAATTAAGTTCGAGCTGTCAGTACACCCATTTCTCAACGACTCTGATCGTCTGTGCTCCTGACTCCTTTTTTAGGGTAGAGGTACAAAAGCAACTGAGTGCCTCCTTCCCCAACTGCGTTAACGCGAAAAAGTAGCACGCCAAAACGACAAGTTGTGAGGCCAAAGGCAGATTTTTGCCGGCTTCCAAGCCGTATGTCTTATTCGGATAAACTGGCAGACAGTTCCTGGCCCACAGGGACGTAGCAACCATATATACAAGTCCCAACACTTGGCGGTCTGGAGTGGTAGCGGAGCTCAATACCGATGGTCAATTATCCACCACACGCTTGTTTTAGCTGTGCGTTCGCAATTAGTGCGCCGTACGCTAAAATGCGGATGTGCATAAGAAGAGCGGCGAAATTTAGAAATTCGACATTTCGATTTTAAATCGTGGGTATTTGGTTGCTCGAATGAGCAAGATTCGGATGATTTTATTTGTATCTTTTTCCGTTCTATAGCAAGAGCGTGAGGTTCAGAAAGAAAATTGTTACGGCTAGATGATCTGTGTTAAGTTTTTTGTTCAAATCATGCACAGTGGGTCATTTCAAAAAACAGTTTGTTTCTGTGTGGACACGCGCGTTTTCTTGCTTTCAGTCCATATCTTATCATGACTCTGCGTGAGTTGTACGGGTTGCGTAGAGTACTTGGCTTCACTTTTTCTGTGCTTGGTGATCTCATGAGATTCCAAAGCCAATTGGGAAAAAGCAATTGTGGGAGAAATACAAGAGTTGCGAAAATGACGCTGAAGTATCCGAAGCATGTGATGACTGTAGGAAAGCGCGCTAAACACATTTTTCCAAACTAAACTAACGGGTTTTTGAGCGTCCCTGTGCTACTTGAGACTAAGCGACGCGCGAAATATGGTCCTCAGCCCCTTGAGCGCGTTCATACTTCGCCATCCGATCGCTTGCATCGCTAGAGTAACCGGATCGCGCGATCACGACTGAACGCGCTTCTCTGCAATCGGTGGATAGCCGCAATAGCCGAATAGGACAGTTCCATGTAGTGGTTCAATGGAATTCAACAGTTGCGGCGGCCCACCTACTAGCAGTGGAGCGCTTCTGGTCGTGATCGCGCGATGGATCGCGAAATATGGATGCGCTGTTCCACGGCTTAGCCTTGGGGACGATGATCCCTTCGTCGCACCTCTGTCACCCTTTTCAGCTGCAGTAACGCCGGAAAGATCGATTATTTTCTCTATGAGCACGTCTTAGTTCCGAAGATATCCTTCAAGTGTGACTTTTTTATGGTTTCCAGTTTAAGAGCTATGTGGTCCGATGCTGAAGATGATTTGTTCGACGACTTCGCTGACTCTGATCCTGCAGCTGGAGGTGATGCCCCACAGGACACTGCTGGTACGGTCTAATCAAATTGTGTTCTTGTGTTGAGCAAGCTTTATGAAAAGGAATGAAAAAGGAATTCAGAATACCTGGGATTCCAGGGTATGTGTCACGCTCGTCTGCTCCCTCACTGCTCAGGAGCCTGTGCAGCTGCTTTTAATCCTTTTACCCCACCAAAACGAAGGTCGAGGGAGGGGAAATCGATTTTACTGCCTCTGAATCTTCGGACTTTATGTACGCGGAGTAAGCAAACTTGTTTCTCGTGAGCAGTGAGGGTTATAGTTTGAACTTATGAAGTTTTGGGCGCAGTCCT